TTCAGTGCAGCCCAGAGAATCTCTCTGATTAGATCTTTAAAGAAGTGTAAACACTATATTTTAATCAAACAAACACTTTCCTTTCCTTGAATACCTGATGAATTGAACTGAAAGCATCTGATCCACAATGGACCCACTTTTCTGGATATATTGGTTTGCATCCTTTTCTCAGGATTACCCCCCCTCCTTTATTTTTTTTTAATTTTTAAGCAAAGTCAGCTTGCCATGTCTGACTTAACCCATCTCCTCCAATTCATAAATGATCAGATGGAACACCGTTCATACCTGGTCTTTTGCCATTCATTTCTCATTGCTCAGACACCTTTTCAAGCTATTCAAAATGTGGTTGTTTCTTAAGTGGCTTAACCGCCTGAAAAAATGGCTGGTTTGTTTGCCTTTATCAGTCTCATTATTAAATAGATACTTAAAGGACTTCCCCATCTTTTTATAATTGCATTCTAATAAGATTCCTTGAAAAAATTAAGAGCAATAAAAATGCAACAAAACTCCATAACGGTTCATTCCTTCTACAGTAAGGCAGAAAGAGAAAAAAAAAGAAGAAACTGGCATATCATTACCACAGGCAACTCATGGGGGAGAGTGGGGGGGTGGGGTGGGGTGGCACATGCCCTCCCTGAGATTGTGGCCGCTCACGGCTGTTGGCTTCTGCGGGCGGTCGCTGCTCGCCACCACCCACCTCCCGCTGGTGTTTGCGGGCAATCCCCACTCACCACCAACGCTGCCGCCTACAAATGGTGACCCCCCAGGCTCGGGAGGCATCAGTTGTTCATGATCAGCACTGAGATGCTCCTGTCAACTTGACTTCAGGCTCACCATAGATACCACTGGGAGCTTAAAATTATTACCATACTTAATAAAAAAAATAAGACAACCTACCAAGAATTAGACTCTATATATAGAAAACTGATAAAGCTGTTATAATTTTTCAGGTACAGAATCTAATTATTCAAGGTTTGCCTTGAATTTGTCTCCCTCCCACAGCTACAGCAGGGAAAATAAATCTGGGCGTTAGGTAGCCCCCTTACCTTCTGCATCCCCCCCGCCCTTTTTCCTCTGCAATCCTTCCCCCACCTCTTATTGTCAGACCCTGCTCTCCTGAGCACATGGAGTGAGGAGCAAATTTGAATACAATGATCTTGAAATAAACACAGCTGTATTAATTTGCATATAGTACCCATAAACTTAGTTCACCCAGAACTGATGCATTTTACTTTTGAAACTGCTGCAATTTTTAGCACAGGTACTCCATAAACACACTTTTAAGCAATGCTTTGGTACCTAATTATATACCATACAAACTATGCATGGTATTAGTCCAAAGCCAAAAGGCTCATGATTTACCACATAGCTCACTGGGCTGGGCCCCAGCAGAGTTAACAGCATTTCAAGCCATGGTGACCCCACAGCTCAGCATTGCTTAGTACGTGTGTACCCCAGATGTGCACCCCCACCAAAGGATGCACATACTAATTAGCTGCCCACTCATGACTGGAAATGAGTCCTGGGATCCTGCAAAAATTTATATGCAGATGAGGTGTAAGGCAATGGGGTCTGGCTTCACTTCATGGAGGGTGGGGCCACACTAAGCATGGGGTCACACTAAGCATACGTGACAGGCTGGGAGAGGCAGAGACAGAGGGATTCTGGGAGAAGTGTTTTGGGCCCCATTTAGTGATGTCTGCCAGACATTTAAGGCTGGTGAAGAAACAATAATTACTGGAAATGGGAAAGAAAGGTACAGCTCACCTGTGAAGTGAAGCAGAAGTCTAAATTTGTGCAATGCAGTGGCTCACAATGACTTGAAAAAGAGCCGGCGCAGAAGGCGACTGAGTGCAATGGGCATTACCATATATGTTATTCAGATAGGTTGCACTAACGTATCCTTGTAGTAGGTTTGCCCAATGTGGACCATGTGTTTTATAGTCATGCTCAGTGTTGGCTGCATTTGATCAACTTCATAGTTGGTTTCTATTACTGAGCACATACTGCTTTTGGCAGCAGTTTTATGGTAGAGAACGTACCTAATGAGGTTTCTTTGTATGTGAATGTAAGACTAAGGGACTTTTTGCCTCTGTGCTGACTGGGGGAAAAACTGTGTGTTGTATTTGGGTAAACCTGGTATTATTATTATTAGTTTGAAAAAACAAAACCCCACAAGTTTCAGGTACATTTTGGACTAAAATGGATTGTCTTGGTTTCTGAGGTTTGTTAAACCAAACAAACAACAGATCTATACAAGTTCTTTGATTTAAAATCCAAAAGGCAATAAAAATTATTGTCTGAACAGGGAAGTTATAGAATTTTGAGTGTTGGGATTAGGGAATGAAAAGGATACTTTCTATTGATTTAGAATCGATTTCTCTCTTAATCTTCAAATCATGAACAACAGATAGCGAGGTACAGGGAAAAAACCCTTTGGGTGTACTGTCCTTACTTCAACTTTAATTACAAAAAGCATTTTTAAATTCAATAAATATCAAAAGCTTCTCAAATATCACATACCATGGTTTACGAATTTATCATCTACACACAAAGTATGGGGTGAAATTGCCTAATGCATGCAAAAGTATAGGTAAAGTTTAATAATTATTTATACCAGTGTTAATGAAATTAATTTAATCTCTTCCATATCAGTTTTAACAAACTTTCCATATGAAAAGAAATCTGTTCCATAGGCAAATTAAATAAGCACAGGAAAGTAAGGATGGAAGAGACCTCACAAGGTCATCGAGCCCAGTCCCCTGTTCAAGTATCTATCCAACCTGCTCTTGAAAACTTCTAAGGATGAAAGAAGTCCTCATCTCTAACCTAAATTTCCTCTGCTGCACCTTCAGACCACAGCTCCTATTCTAGTCCTCTATGGCCATAAAGAAAAGTCCATATCCACCCTTTCTAGAAATTGCCCTTCAGGTATTTGAACACTTTTATCAACCCGCCCCCTCCCTCAATATTTTCTTCTTCAGACTAAACAAACCTAGTTCTTTTGGCCTTTCCTCCTAAGTCTTGCTTCTCAAGCCATCGGGGAGCAACATTTCTGTTGTTCCCCGATGGATTGGAAAGAATCCAGTCCTGTCCACATCCTTCTTGGTGTGGGGCCCAAAACTGGGCACAGTACTCCAGGTGGAGCCTCACCAGTGTTGAAGAGGAGAACCATCAGTTCCCCTGATTTGCTAGCGACACTCCTGTAGATACAACCCAGTCTATGCTGTTGGTTTATTCTGGAACAACAGCATGCTGTTGCCTCATTCAATTTATGATCTACTGTCACCCCCAGGTCCTTCTCTGCAATATGGCAGCCTAATTTGTAATCATTCCCCAGTCTGTATTTGTGCATGCCATTATTCCATCACAAGTGCATGACTTTGCACTTGAATCTCATCTGTTTGACTGCAGACCATTTTTCCAGACATTTATGGATCCTAGCCCTATCTTCGGAGTGTCTGAAACTCCACCCAACTTGAAACCTCCACAAAGTTGCTAAGCGTGCAATCAATCCTGCAGCTAGTAAATCAATGCTGCAGCTGGTAAAGCGACCAAAACGCTGGCTTGCATCCATAGATGCTTCTCAAGCAAATCCCGGGACGTCATTCTCCCCCTGTACTCGGCCTCAGTGAGGCCGCAGCTGGAGTACTGCGTCCAGTTTTGGGCTCCACAATTCAAAAAGGATGTGGAGAAGCTTGAGAGAGTCCAGAGAAGAGCCACGCGCATGATCAGAGGTCAGGGAAGCAGACCCTACGATGACAGGCTGAGAGCCCTGGGGCTCTGTAGCCTGAAAAAGCGCAGGCTCAGGGGTGATCTGATGGCCACCGATAAGTTTATCAGGGGTGACCACCAGTATCTGGGGGAACGTTTGTTCACCAGAGCACCCCAAGGCATGATGACTAGGTCGAATGGTCATAAACTACTGCAAGACCATTTCAGGCTGGACATAAGGAAGAATTTCTTTACTGTCCGAGCCCCCAAGGTCTGGAACAGCCTGCCACCGGAGGTGGTTCAAGCGCCTACATTGAACACCTTCAAGAGCAAACTGGACGCTTATCTTGCTGGGATCCTATGACCCCAGCTGACTTCCTGCCCTTTGGGCAGGGGGCTGGACTCGATGATCTTCCGAGGTCCCTTCCAGCCCTAATGTCTATGAAATCTATGAAATCCCATCATCCAAAAAGTTAATGGTGTTGGATAATACCAGACCTAGACAGATCCCTGATACTTCCTCCAAACTAAATATATCCTTCTGTACTGCTTTCAATCCAGAACTACCAAAAATTGCTATAATTTTAAGTTTCGACTATTATCAGTAATATTAGTTGAATAAGGGAATGTTTCATGTAAGATTAACCTCAAAAGCTGTGCATGCTTCCAGACTTATTAGAGATACTGTTCTGAAAACTGGCTGCCTATCTAATAGTGTAAAAGTCTAGATTTGGTGCCAGTCTCAGATCGCAGGGATAAATCAGTTGTGTCAGGTCACTTCTATAATGTGCTTCTGGACTATATGACATGCATAGTGGCATCTATAAGGCATCATTAGTGTCTAAAACTGGGAAGTAACTGCTACATGTACTTGAGACTGTTACTATAAAGGGTAATGCTGTTTTATCAAACATAAAAGCTACAATATATAGCTCAGCTATGCCAAAACACTTCCTGTTATTCCATTCTACCATTCCCCTTCACTCACCTATTTTGGTGGGCAGGTACTGAAAATTCTCTCAAGGTTGGAATGCGAATCAGGGGTTGATGTGACAGAAAAAACAGAAATGATCGTATCTGGTATTTTTTTCTCTTTGCTGAACCAGACTCTTATTAGATTATCAGATAAGTCATTTAAAAAGGGCCCATTTTACAACTCAGTAAATGCAAACATGAACTGGCCAAGGCAACAGTTACCTTCATTTATCATCAGTCCTTTAATTAATGTATGGCCTGCCAATCAAAGGCAAATGTTACCTGAATGCAGAAAGGATAAATTGTCTTACCGTACACAGAGTATCCTTCGTAATTATCAGGGTAAAATCTGATGAAAATTCCAGATCTTGAATGGATGCTGTGTGACAATCTATATGCTAACAAAAAAAAGGATAAAAATCAATTCTGGCAACATAGAGCTTCATTGTAATAAACATGCTCTGGGGAACTTAATATTACTGGTTTTGTTTTTCTAAAAACTAGAAGTAATGCAGTATGGTATTAATTCAGGTCCTTAAAACAGTAGAGAAAACAATCCTACATATTTGAATTTAAGAAAGGCTAAAAACTGTTTTATTATGTTATTTGTTATGAATCAAAGAAGTCTATAACCACTTACCCCAAATATGAACACACCACAAATAAAAGACACTGGGCACCTTTTATACTTCATATTGATAGCAAACTAAAAATTGGGTGCCTCTAACACTGGTAAGTAAAATTAGGAGCCAAAGCTTCAACCAGTTCCTAGAGGACTGCTGACTGTATGCGCTGCAAATCTTAAGAGGCATTAACTGGCATCTTCAATGGAAAGGAATGGTTAGGCACAGAGATGATTACTCATCAAGCTTTAAAAATAAGGGCCTTCTGGGTGACTGTTGAGGAATACAAGCAACCCCCACTTCGCGCTCTTAACTGGTTCCTGAAAAACTGAATGTTAAGTGAAACCGAAACTATCTGATGATCCAAGATGGTGACTGCAAGTGTTTTTAATGACCCAAGATAGTGACTGCGAGTGTTATAAAGAAACTCGCTGAGTGCTAAGTGAAATCAGGTATCAATTTAAAATGAGCGCTATAGCGAAACAGAGCTAAGCGAAACAGCATTAAGCGGGGGTTGCCTGTACTGTTAAAGTCAAATGGGAGAATGAATTACAGCTCTCTTGCATATTGGTATATCTTTGTAAACTAAAGGGGTTGATAGTGGTAAGACAACTCAACTGTTTTGTCCTGTCACAGTTTCTCAGGAAGCACTTCCAAGACAGAATAAAAATGTATGCAGTTTAGCCCTGTATGCTTACTACATAAATTTGTCATTTGGTGAGGTATGAAGTATTAAAACAATAACTAGAGACAAAAGGACATCTGGCTGAGAAGATTTTTATTTACTTTTTTGTTAAAGACTATACTTCTAATTCTTCCTCTTCTCCAATTTAGCATTATTTAACAGTCGTATATAAGTACTGGCGCTGCACCACCTTTTTTAGAGACTTTTCCTTAACAATTCTAATGTATTTCCTCAAATTAATGAACAGGTAATTTAAGATAGTGTACCAAACCATCTCCTGAACTCAGCGTATGATGAATAGGAACAGTTTTATTCTTTCCCAATATTCTGAAGTCATTTGTTATGTGGAACAGGTATTGATTAAAACTGTTTACCTATAATGTCATCCTTGCTCAACTCATTAATTCTACAACAGCTTGTGCAGGGATATGAGTAAAAAAACTCAAAACTTAGTTATCTTAAAAACACGCTTCTATTAAAACATTCTAGTTTATAGATGATACAAAAGTCACAAGTGTTGCTTAATGACAGGGATATTTTTAATATTTTTCTCAAAATATAGCTTAGACAAAGATTACCCTTACAAATATTTAGAAGGGGCATTACTAACTGCATTAGTTGATACAATCAATGAAGTATTTTTGTGGCAAAATGTCAGCTTTTGTTTAAGTGACAAAGATGTGCACACCTTCATGTAACACTACCTGACACTTCCTATTAAAAGGCCTGGTTTTCAATTGTTCAAAACTCTACCAAACAAACTTCTCAGGCTGAAAGTTTCCAAATCAGATGTCCTTTAAAAACAAACCGTAAATTTAAGCTGCAATGGCTCTGTCGTTTCTGAGAATATTGTTAAAAAACGCACCTTCAGTTCTTACAACCATTGCACTGAAAACCTCAAGGGCTTCTACTGTGTGGAGCAGGGTTTGAAGTTTGGTACCAGAATAGAATGTTTCTCTTACTAACCCCATAAACACTCAACCAAATTTGACCAAGTAATGACCTTTTGAATAATTCCGCTTTATACACGCTAGTAGAGGCTAGCTGGAGAATCTAGATGCCAAGCTGCAGAAGCACAATGGTACTGCATGCCCTCACAATTCAGAGTGCTGAATGAACTGCACAGGCAGTATTTTTTTTCAGGACTGAGCATGCTCTATTCTCAGGTTGCAGATGTCATCAACAGATGTGGCTAATCACATACCTGTAACAAGGAGGCCAAATTAGAGTTGCCTGAGCAACCTTAATTTCACCATTTCCTGCCTCTGAATGCTCAGATCTTGCAATCGTTTAATGTAAGAGTTAGAGAGAGTTAATAAATAACAGTATACCGAAAAAAAATCAGCACATTGTTGGGGTACAAACATGCACAAAACAGGCTTGTACAAGGTATTTTTGGCATCTGTGGATACTTAAAGCTCCTCAGTTTCCAGCAAGTCTTGAAGTTGTTCCTAACTCATGAGCAGATTGCAACTCAGAAAGCCCAGCACTAATAATCATGCCAAAAGTTTCTCAGCTGTATTTCATTTCAATCTCCAGGAAAGATTTTATAGGCTAGCTGTTCTTGTATTTGACAAGGCACACAAACAAAAGTTAGGGGAGGTTTTGGGAAATAATTTAGGCAAATCACCACACTTCAAAATTCACACAAGTTCATGCTTTAGAATTTAACCTAAGCTACTAACATGTGTTGTTTGGATGGATCAGTATGACATAAGAATGATTACCCATTTACATGGAAAGCCATTTACTTTGAACTCACTCATGTCAACAGTTACTATGAGAAGATAACAGTCTGACTCATGTGGAAAAAAAAAAGATGTAAGCAGACTAGTCCAATTTATCAAGTCATAGCTATAGTTATTTATTTTTGCACAGAATCTATGTCTGAGGGCAGAAAATAAAACGGAGTAGGAAGATGGGCTTGCTTGAGGAAACAAATTGACAGCAAAATCTTATTTAAATAACTGGATCTAAAAAGTTACTAAACAAAGTAGCAAATGCAAGGTGCATATTCTGAAGTCAATGCTGTGGACCTTTATTGAGTTTCTTTTCTGCTACAACATTTCTGTAAGTTAAACTGTTTTTCCACATTAAATCCAGTTACAGTGGAGACTATGAAAGAAAATAAGATTTTAGTGATACATCTCTGAATAACAATAAACAACAATTTTAAATGAAGTGTTTGGTAAAGTACCTTAATGACACTGGCCTCAGATATAAGCGTGTCTGGATCTAAGATCTCCACGACAGCTTCTGGAAGGACAGCCTTCTTCATGCAGGACATGTTGAAGCCGTATACATTATCCCAAAAAGTTAGTTTATCTGTATGCTTCTTCATATCACTCAGAGCCACTAGACTAATTGTGCAGACATCCGGGTAGACTGAAACAGAAAGAGATTAGTAAAGTTTTGTTTTGGACATAAAATAAAACCAAAGCATTTGAAGATATGTTAAACTGTTAGTCATTTTAAGAATAAAAAAAATAAAAGAAACTTAATTTAGTACTTACACAAGGTCCCCCTGCCTTGCATACTGTAGCCATATTTATTCACATAGATATGAGGTTGTGGTAGCAAAGCTTTTTTTCCCATGCTACATGAATGATGTGCCTCAATCCCTTTTAGGAAAAGATACTACTAGTTTTGAATCCAATGTTTAGAATATGGTATAGAAACTTATGATCTGTAGAAAATTACTTGGGCCATTATATTTACTTTGGTTCTATACTAGAAATGCCCACAAGCGAGTATATCAAAGCCTGAAAATTCACTTGAATGCTATTAGCCAGAGGCCAGTCAAAAAACCCCAACAACTGGAAAAACCTAAACCCTCAAATGTGCACAAGTGTCAAGAACACTTTTCAGCAAAATCAAAGTGCAAAATACTTGCAAAAAGACCTTCCCACAGAAGTCAGAATGCCAAGATTCTTATTATGGGTCCCGTATTTATCTTCCGCCTTAGTTTCTGCCTGGTAGATGCCTAATGATATATTTTTATAAAATCCTTTTAGCTACTGGAGAAAAGAAGGATCTCCCTTTCATCCCTCAAGAGTGCCATTGTTTGCTGGGCCTCCGCCTTACACATACTTCATTACTTCTTGTTCAATGGTCCACTGTTGGGCACAGCTCTAGAACCCGCCAGCTTCCATTAGTGATTCCCTCCTTTTCCAGTAACAGCTTGTGGACACGTCTCTGCTTACAACTTTCCCAGACAAAAATGGGAAGCATCAGTGTGGGAGTGGCCAGCTTGTGGTATGTGTGCCTTAAATGACACAGGCAGCCTCTGTGCGTGGCACATAGCAAATCAGGGAGAGGACAGGCATCACAGCAGCAGATAGGACACAGAGCAGAGAACCAGACTGGACAGGAGATCAGACAGCAGGCACAGGGCACAAACAGCACAGCAAATGAGGCAGGGGAAGGGGGATCCGAGTGGCACTTGGGGAGAGTCTGGGGCTAATTTTCAACATGCCTGACAAACAGGTTGGCTCTCACTGCATTAGCCTGTTTAACAGCTGCCTAGGCCTCTCTAGTCTCTTGTCAAATTTCATTCAGCTACTAGAAAAGTAGGGAAAAACAATAATACTGGAGCTGGCTGTGTGCAAGCTAAAGGAGGACTGTACATCAGTTTAAGTCCTCACATAGTTCAAGAAGCAGTGCTCCAAAAACTTACACGTTTACTGGAAGAGATGTTTACAACTCTCTCCACGGAGAAGTTCCTTACCTCGTTTTTTAGGTTTTGAGGTTTCACAGGAGGATTCAAATGAGCAAAAAAATGCAGATACTTTAATGCAGATTTTAAGTAACAAGTATACTGCACTTTATAGAGCACTGCAATATCTAGATAGGCACCTACTCAATTCACGATTTTGTGGAAATTGCAAAATCAAATATTGTCTGTGAAATCTGCAAAAAAGCTTAATAAAATAAAATGCTGGCTCCCCAGTGGGAGCCAGCGGTCCTCATGGCCACTACAGCTTGGCTATGCAGACCAGCCACCCCCCCATCCCTCGCTTCTGACTGGCTGAGAGGGCTGCCTGTTGTGTAGCCCCAGCTCTCTGCCAATCAGCAGCAAAGGGCAGGGCCACATGATGGACAGCCCTCTTGGCTAACCAGTGGCAAGGGAGCCAGGCCACCAGACCCCCTTGGCCAGAGGCATGGGGGGCCCCCTGCAGCAATAACTCTGCAAAAATGGTGGCCAGCCCTGTGATAGGCCTGTGAAATCAGCCGCCTGCCTCCTCAATTTTGATAGGTCCCTATTTATAAAAGACTGAAGGTGATGAAAATCTAGAGAGTTATTTCTCTTTTCTTCGCTAAGAGCTGATAATCTGTAAAATTGATTCTGCCTCCAAATTTTTGTTAAAAGTGCCACTTCATAAAAATAAACATCACAGAATCTTTGGCACACTGATTGACAATACACCGCATTTTTCCTTTCAATACTCTGAAAAGAGAAAATAGTAAAGTATTAGATATATCTTAAGTAAAGAACAGGAAATGACACTCGTATGAACTGGCAGCAGATGCTTCTTGTAAAGAAACAACTCCCTTTCAAGACAGTTTAAAAAAAAAACAATCTTGAATTTGGGAAGATAAATCTATACAGACAACCAAACATAACATAGTCTGTATAACATAGACACAGTAGCTTTCTGGACAATGTTTTAAATGGTCTTATTTTAACAAGACTTATAAAAAGCTATGTATTATGTATTCCAACACCTTAGTGAATAAATCTCATCCCAAATGAGGAACACAAGGCAAAGCAAGAAAAATTTTCCCAGAGCAGATTTTGATTACCAAAAAACAAACAAACAAAAAATCAAAAGAAAAGAAAAAAAAAAGAGAGCATGCTAAAAGGACAGCAGCTCAACATGGATTGTTTGAAGCACATTATTTAATTTTGGCACGCTTGAAAAGTGTCACACAAAATCAGCATCTAGTGTTATGACAGTCTGAGAAATTTCTGTGACTAGTAACAAGAGACGTTCACTTCTCAAAATTTCCTAATTGCTGCTCTGGGTCAGCTAAGTTTAGCACCTACATTTCATTAGATTCTGCCACGAAGGAATTCTACATGTTTTCCTGCAGCATAGGGGGCACCCTAATCTGGATGCAGACTACGAAATAAATGACAAAGGCAAGTACATCCTGAATTCTCCATGGAGTGCCTAACATAGCCTGTAGAAAGAGTTCCAAAGCAGCTTTAGGAATTTTTTATTAGGGCCAGCAGAGGAAGGGAAAGTTGGGATGATGATATGCATATATGCAGCTATATTGGGTAAATGCAGGGAAAAGAGGATAGAAGAAACAGATTCTATACCTCAACACTAGAAAAAAGACATGAGAGCAAACAAGTGGCACTGAGGCTGCAAGAGGGAAAAAATAAACAAACAGAAAAATCAATGTAAAAACAGTTTACTACTTTGTAACATCCCTAGCTTGGATGGGTCCATAGTTCTGGGCTGCTGTGGCAAAAAGTACATGGTTTGTTATGTATGGTTTGGATAACCACCTGCTAGTAAATCACTTCCTCCGAGTGCCAAACTTCTAAGTCAGTTGCAAAAATTATTATAAAATCGATGAGAATGAGCTCTAAAGAGCAACTGGAAGGTCAACACTAAGGGCTCCTACACACATGCATGAAGCCTGCTCCCAAGTGCTGGAAATCGAGCACATCAGAGCAGATCCGATTAACTTGAGTCTGCTGAAGCACAGAAACTGACTGGCTCCGGCAGCCTTCCGCGTCATGTGTATCAGTGTCCCCATGTATCTCCGTGCTGAAAAAATGGCGGCAGGGCGCTTTGAAATAAAGCACATTCAATGAACTTTAGTTCAAAGCGCTCCACTGCCATTTTTTTTTAGTGTGAAGACGCTGATATATGTGATGCGCAGGCACCTTTAATTAGTGCAGCTCGCTAATTAAAGTGCCTGGAGTCATATCCCAAAGCATGTGTAAAAATGCACTAAAGATGAAAATTAAATTTGCCCATTTGGTCTGAAGCAAAAATGAATGAAAAATCACTATACAGAGACTTAGGCAAGAAACAATGAATTCCACAACCAGGGGACATGGACAAAGGACTATACACATACACTGCCTTAATTCTAATGGACTTCTTTTAACCTTCCTGTAATATTCCTGAAAACCTTAAAAGTTCTGCAGAATCCCTTCAATTAAGTAATTTTTAAAATAATGTTGCAAGGAAAAAGAAAATCAAGGATTCCCTCTCTCCTACCTTTCCCCCCCACACAAATAGCAGGGAACTGTTTGGTTACCATTAAATTGCCCTTACTTGTATTTGGCAAGAGAGATTTAACTTTATTTCATAGAATTGCTATACTTTTTAAATGTAAGAATTTAATTTGCTCTAGATGTTTAACTTCTAAATTATCTGTAATGATAACAGAATCAGTATCACCTAGGGATATGTACCATGTTCATCACCAAATTATTCAAGTTCTATATAAAATTATGACATGTTACTAGAAGTATAAACAATGATCAAGCTATAAAGTTGACATGCCAAAAGCTCCCATGAGCTCAGGCTTCTACTTTCACCCCATTTTTCACATGCTTTAAGGAATAGTGTCTTGTAAATATTCTTGATTAAAACTATTCTAAAGATAATGATGTTTCACTCACCATTCCTGTTGCTCAAAAATTAAGCTCCCTTCCCTGTAACTCTGCCTGAACCACTCATAATCTTTCCTTGTCTAATCCTAACAGGTTTATCATTTAATTTTCTTCTGATTAAAGCTATAATCAAATAATTATTCCTTCTCATTGGTGAAATTAACAAAATGCTGATTGGACAGCAGCACACATTCAGCAACCAGCTCACAAATCCATGGCTTTGACATCTGTGTCCTTCTCGACTCAGTGCCCAGAAATCATCTGTCAATGGTAACAGCTCACGTGGTGAATAGAGTAAGATGGGAAATCCTTTATCCGTTAGTAATGTCTCACAAGCTTCAGGGTAACAGGGTTAAGACAGTTAAGACTATTAAAAGGGTAAGACTATAATCCTACAATACATTAAAATAATTGAGTGAACACCAACATCATCCGGACGTGAATAATCAAAATTCTTTTAAGACAAAGATACTATTTTTTTTGGTTTTTTTAAAGACAAAGTATCTAAAGATTTTAAATTCTAAATTAAGGCCTTATTTCCCTATCTTACTCCTAATCACTGTGCATTTCACTCAAGTACATGCGGAAATGCATACTAGATCAAGGGAATAGTTATACATAACGAATAGATGAGCGTGCAGTAAAAAGAACTCTTTGCACACAGTGTGTGCTATACACATCACCCTAGATCAGTGGTTCTCAAATTTCTTAGACTCAAGTCAGCACTTGGAAATTGTCAGCTCTT